CCCCCGCCCCCGCCGCACATGGTGCATTATTTCCACCAGCAGCCGCCTCCCGCTCCGCAGCCTCCGCCGCACCTCCCGTCGCAACCGCCGCAGCAACCGCCGCAGCAATCGCAGCCTCAGCAGCCGTCTCACCCTGGAAAGATGCAGGAGGCTGCGGCTGTGGCGGCTGCTGCGGCGGCCGCGGCGGCCGCGGCGGTGGGCAGTGTGGGACGCCTGTCGCAGTTTCCGCCCTACGGACTGGGCTCCGCCGCCGCGGCGGCCGCCGCCGCCGCGGCGTCCACGTCGGGCTTCAAGCACCCATTTGCCATCGAGAACATCATCGGCCGGGACTACAAGGGCGTGCTGCAGGCGAGCGGGCTGCCCTTGGCGTCGGTCATGCACCACCTGGGTTACCCAGTACCCGGCCAACTCGGCAACGTCGTCAGCTCAGTGTGGCCTCACGTCGGCGTCATGGATTCGGTGGCAGCGGCCGCAGCAGCCGCCGCGGCCGCAGGGGTCCCTGTAGGTCCGGATTATGGGGCCTTCGGAGTGCCAGTCAAGGCCCTGTGCCACTCGGCAAGCCAGAGCCTGCCTGCCGTGCCTGTGCCCATCAAGCCGACTCCCGCGCTGCCTCCAGTGGCCACGTTGCCGCCGACGCTCACTGTCCCCCCAGCCACACAGCAACCGCCTGCACAGTCCACCGTGTGCCCGGCGGCCGCGGCCTCTCCTGCCACTTCCCTGTTAGAGCCCCCGGCTCCCAGTGCGACCGAGAGCAAGGGCGGTTCTCTGCACTCGGTGCTTGTGCACTCTTAGGGGACCCAGCGACCTGGGGGAGACCAACACGCGTTGCAACACCTAGTACCGGACGGCGCTAGAGGAAGAGGGCGCCCTTATCAGGCTGGGAGGAGTGGCGAGCCTTCGCGAGAAAGGAAGGTACTTAAGCAAACCTGAAAGTGGAATCTGCAGAGGTCTGAATAAATATAACACTTGGTGTCTGTGTTTATACTATGTTGTACAATCAGATTAATGAAAGCCAATTTTCAGGTAAGATTTTATTGTGATTAATGTTTTAAATGAAAAGTTATGGGGAGGGAGCAAAGGAGTTTAGGTGCTTAATTCGCTGGCAAATTGGAAGTGGATTTCGACCTTTATTCCTGGGAGCAGAAACGATGGAATGAAACCCTCCTGAGGGAGAAATCCAAGAGAGAGACGCTGAAGCAGACATCAGGCACCAAGTTTCTCACCCAGGGCAGTCTCCTCTCCTGAATATACAAGCCCAAACTGCTATTCACTAAGAAAATCTCGTTTTACTTAAGGAAAAAAGAGAGCATTTGAAACCGTTATTTTCCTTATCAGTTAAATGGGTGAAGACAGAGAATCATGAATAAAGTCGCTTGGGGGGGGGGAGTGGGAACCCCACGAAAGATCTTGGGAAACAATTACGTTTCTTGGCTCTGACCCCCGGGGTCGAGAAGTATAGAAGGAACAGCTAAATCAATTAGTTTGCACAAAAGAGAATGGCAGCGGCTTAAAAAAAAAAAAAAAAGCAAAATCCTAGATTCCAAAAGTAGGGTTGGAAAAGCAACCAAAGCGACAATAAAAAGGCGACTTTCTACCTGCAACTTGTTTGCCCATCAATCGGATGAGACCGTTAAGGAGCCCCCAAATAATGTGAATTCCCACGATCCGTTACATTTGGAATTTTAAAGAAAAAAAATCACTTGCTTCACGGGCTTCCGTTCCCATAAATCATAAATGCAAGAAAATTCTGCCATATCATCCCGCTATGTTGGGCTTAACTCTTCCAGGGGAGTTTGAAGGCGGCTCCCTTCCAGCCTCTTCAGACTAATGAGAGAGGGTGACTGCATCTACTGTGCACTCTGCGACCGATTTGGTATTCCGTGTGCTGCTTGGGTGCGAACATATTTCAGGGTAATTCTTCAGTTTCAGTTCGTGAGTGAAAAAGAACCCTACTAAGTCGCTGTTGTCCCATTCCCTAATTGAGCCCCAGGAATAGCACTTTACTCCCAACAAATTTTCAGAAACGAAGGGGGGTTTGGTAGGAAGGAGGCAGTTGTTCTTTGCCTCCAAGTCACTTCTGGCTTTTGTACGCACCGCGTTCGGGTTGTGACTTTGTGACAAGTTCATGTCTGCCAGTGTTATTCGCGGTGTTCTCCATTAAAGCTTCTCTCTGGATATGTCATTGCCAGTGTGAAGGTGTATCGCTTCTCAAGAGACCAGACCTCGGTTCGCGTGCCCACTGAATGGTCAAGGAACTGCCCTTTCCCTTTACCTCTCCCCTTTCCCTTCATTTCTTCACTTCAAAAGTGTGCATTCTTAGGCGAGATGCCAGCGGGCACAGCATCTCTCCAATGCACCTTTAATCCGTTAGAGCGATTACCTCCTTGTCTACCTATTCTTTGCATTGCTCATTTTCTGAGTTTTAGTCCCCTCAATCCTAGCGACTGCATTAGAAAAGAAAAAAAAAAAAGAAAAAGAACCCAACCGCAATTGCGATTTTTTTTGTTCCTACCTAACTTTCATAGCAATATTCCATAACCCAATAACCCAACACTCTTTTCTCCTTTCTGAGGACCTCCAGGGCAGACTATGATAGGGGATTCGGAGCCCCTGGTATGTGCCCTGTTGCGCCCTCTTAAGTCTATGCGGAGGGAAGTTGGGCGCCTGCGGCTGTCCAGAAGAAAAGAGTGCGGTTAGGGCTCCGCGGCTTAAGCGACCTGTTGGACACTGGTGAGGGGCAGCGTCCTCCAAGAGGAGGTTCTCTGGGGAGGCAGCCGCTTGGGTCCCCAAGCCGAGCGCTAGGCGGCTGAGATCGCACAGCCCCGCAGTCGGAGACTCCCAGGGAGAAACTTCGTGATGCAACAGCTGTGGGGCTGCAGGAGTTGCTTACAAGGAGTCGCGGGTTTGGTGCGGGGGACCCTGCTGGGCTACTGATGCCAGGGCCTGGCCTCCACTCACTGCCCTCCACCAGCGCTCCATCCTCCACCGGTGGGGTCCAGCCCAAGCCTCTTCTACCCTTTCATCAGAAGAAAATAAAGAGTTAACAAGATACCTGCGCACAATAATGACACTGGGGGAATTTTGGGTTACATTTTAAAATAGTGTTTCCATTCCTCCTTATTTTCACCTCCTACCACAGTGGGCCCCTTAGTTTTCTCCTTGCCTGGGAGAAGTTTCTCAGTTAAGGTTGTTGCCTCTTTGAAGGCTCAGGCAATTTGGAGGGTAATACCGCATTCTTTCAGCTTGCAAGTCTGCAAAGACTTCCTACACTCTATCTAGCCTGAGTCTGTAGATAGAGAAAAGGGAAGATTTGGAAATGGGAGTCACAGGAGGAGACAAGGCTGGAAGTCTAGCTTCTAAGTCCTTCTCTGGGTGATATGGTACCTGGAAGCCTGCAACACAGACCTCTAGATTAGGTGTGGCAAATCTCATGGATTTCAGAACTATCTTTAAAAAAGTAACCCATTTTCCTTCTCCATGTGCTTGAAAGGGTCAGTATGCTTTTAAGCTATACTCAGAATTCTACTTTCTGGAGATAGAAGCAAGCCTAATTGTGGCGTTTGACACCTGACACCCTAAAGGGCCTAAGTGACAGACCCTCACTAGAAGAGGATGTGGCAAAAAAAAAAAAATCTTTTTCTCTCCCCCTCCCAACTCTCCTGGTACCAAATTCCATCCCACTCCTCACCTCCCACCTGAGTGGAACCACTTCAGTCTCAGTGGGGGAAATATTGTTGCTTAGTTTTGTCTGCACTGTTGGGGAAAGAGAGAAAGGAGAAGGAAAGCCAAATAAGAGATGATTCTACCCAACTTTTCATCCAAGAGACCCTGGTATCCAAAGGAAGGAATGCATAATGTTGAGACAGGAGAATATTGAAATTTCTACAAATAAGCAAAGAGGAAAGGGAGCTTTTTGCCAAAATTCTGACCTCAAGGGAGGTCAGAGCCCTGAAAGCAGCACTGAAAAATCCCCTTCACTAAGATGGGATCTATCTCCCATAACTGTAATATGAGGGCTTCATGTTAGCAAGCAATCACCACAAACTTCTAGACTAAGAGCCTGACAGAATTAGTCTTGGCCCATGTCTGAAACTGAACCAGGTCTAGACTCACTAGAATAAGGTCTTTGCCTCCTGCCCAACTCTTCTCAAAGACAGGCGTCACATCCTGTACTCACTTTAGACAGGGTCAGGCCACTTAAATGTTATTGCTCTGGTTGTAATTAGGGTATATAGACAACTAGTAAAACTAATAAGAATAATAAATTGATGGAAGATTTTGGTAACCCTCCCAAGGGAGTATGTTACTTTGTTTGATCTCACAGGCTTTCTCCAGCTATATTTTAGGGGTAGAGGGAAAGTAAGTTCTGGACAAAAGGGAGATGGAAGTAGAAGTAACTTTTAGTTTATTAACATCTCAGTTCATAAATTTAATAAAAATGCTCCTTATTAAATACTATTGACAAAAATCATGCAATTATGCTCCTGTTTTCCAGGATGATGGCAAAGGTTATAGCTGTTAAGTCTGTAGACACTTAACTGAATGCACAAAACCTCAAAAAAGGTGAGGAACTATGAGGAGGAGAGAAAAGTTTTACTGTAGATGTCCTTAAAATAAAGACAGATGGAAAACCACTTGGAATTCATCTATGTAACTGTTTCCTTGAGAAGTTGAGATAGGGAAGGGAAGACAGCACCATTTTACCAGTGGCCCTAGAACAGGCCCCCCCTCCCCCGCAAAGGCCGGCATTGGCACAGTGGGCACCTGGCACATAGGAACGCCTGTCAGTCATGCTGGTTTGTGGTCAATTAGCTGCTTAAATAGACTGGCATGAGTCCAAACAGAAAGGCGGGCTTATGCATCATAGGAATCAGAGCCAGTTAGTTAGCTGGAAGTGGCACTGCTGAACTCCAAGCCTCTTTGCATTGTAGAGTTTGGAAGGCTGATCTGCACATGTCCTCCTGGGATTCAAAGAGGACATTTGCCTGCTTGGCACTAATACAAAAAGACTACAGTTGAGAATGGAAATGGAATACTTCAGAAGGAACTTTGATGATCAAAACCACTGATTTCCCTGAAATTCCATTCATCTAACAAAATCATCATTCTGATATGCACAAATTATACAGATATCCTTGAAAATTATGGTGGGATTTCACTCCTCCATTGGGTAGGGTTCCTGATTCTCTACTATACCTGATGATGACATGGGCAGAAAGATTAATTCAGACTTGAACATGCGGCAAACAGTTGAACTGGTTTTTAGTGATGATTCTGCATAGGGATGTGGTGACAGGGTAGAATTAGAATTAGAATTGGAAATGAAAAATTAAAGAAAATGAAAAATTAAAGAAATAGTCCTCCAAACCTGTGATAACCTCTTGTGGGTGAAAAGGAAGACTGGGGACCCAAAAGGAGTGGGAAGTTCCTGAATCCAAAGATCAAAACAATTTCTTCAATGCTAACTTTCCCATTTTGTTCATTGAAAGTATTTTTTTTAAAGATTTATTTATTTATTCATACAGAACTGGGGTACAGCCTAGAGATGCGGAGGCTGAGAGGATTCACCAGGGACAGAGTGGGGAGCAGAACAGGCAGATCAACGAAGTACACTGCTGAGGGGAGCAGTGGGCGGGTCAGGAGAGGTCTGCCACGCCATGTGGTCACCTCTGGGGCAGGCGGGGATCGAACTCATGCGGAAGTGGCTTTAGCTTCTTAGTGCAGTGCTTTAACCCGCTGCACCACCAGGGAGGGCCATTGAAAGTATTTTTGCTACCTTTATCTCTTAAAGC